GCAGATTGTTGCCCCAAGGTAGGTAAAGGGTAGGGTTCCTCTCTTGATGCCTAAAGCTTTCTCCATGTTTTGAGCCTGAGCAGTGGTTGTGTTTTTGGAGGAGTAAAATTTACTCTTGGAGGTGTTGATTTCCTGGCCAGAAGCTTTGAGATAGAGATCAAGAGTGTGTTTAAGTTTGATCAGGTTCCTGGTTTCTCCCTTGGTTAAAATCATGAGATCATCAGCATAGATAAGGTGAGAAGGGAAGGGTGTTTGACCTGCATTAAATCTGAGAAGGGTGTGAGAGTTCATCTGATGGTTGAGGAGTCTGCTTAGCCCATCTGCTGCAATAATGAATAAGAGAGGGGATAGGGGGTCACCCTGCTTGACCCCCCTCTCCATCCTGAAATATCCTGTGGGTTCTCCATTTAGAAGCACACTGAAGTTGGTCCCTTTGAGGTTTGCCATAAGAAGGGTGATTGAGTGAGAGTTGAAACCAAAAGCAGCCAGGATTTTCTCAAGATAATCCCAGTCCAACCTGTCAAAAGCTTTTTCCATGTCAATTTTGAGAATGAGGTTACTCCCAAATACTTTCTTGTCTAAAAGATGAAAAGCCTCCTCTGCCATAAGCACATTATCATCAATGGATTTGCCTTTTTGGAATGCTGCCTGTTCTGGGGACAAAAGTTTGGGTAGGAAGATGCTTGATCTGTTGGCCAGGAGCTTGGTGTTGATCTTGCTCATGAAAGTTGAAAGAGAGATGGGCCTGAAGTCGTCAAACTTCTTGGAGTTTTCAGTTTTCGGAATGAGGGTCAAGAGGGTGCTACCATAGGCCTTTGGAATAGGGACACCTAAAAAGAACTCCTGTGAGGCACTCAGTACATCCAATTTTATGGTGTCCCATGTGGTTTTAAAGAATTTTCCATTAAAACCATCAGGACCTCCAACACTGGTATCATCCAGGTCCCAAACAGCTTGTTTAACCTCTTCCAAGGTTGGTAAGGAGGTGAAGGAGGAGTTGTCTTCTGGGGAGAGAACAAGGGGGATGAGGGGAAGAATGGGATCAACTGAAGGATGATGGGTTTTCTTGAAGGTGTTAGTAAAGTATGACACTGCTTTTTTGATATCATCAAGGTTGTAGTAACCTTTTCCATTGGAGCCAATAATATGAGAAATGGTAAGCTTCTTTCTCTTACCTTTGACAAAGGCTTGAAAAAGTTTGGAGTTGGAGTCCCCTTTATCCATCCATTTGATATTGGCTTTTTGTTTCCAATATTGGACCTCTAGGTTGGTGGCTAGGATAAATTTTGCGTTGGCCTGCTGCATAGCTTCCCTGTTCTGCTCTGTGGGGTTGAGCTCAAAATCTGCCTGGGTTTGGGACGCTGCTTCCTCAGCTGCTATAAGGTTGCTATGAGTGTTACCAAAGACCAACTTATTCCAAGTTCTGAGAGCCTTTTTCATAGCCTGGAGTTTGTTAGCCATGCCTCTCATCCCTCCTGTGGTAGGAAAACCATCCCAAGTATCTTTGACAAAGGTTTGAAATGAGTCATGAAAAGTCCTGCAATCCAGAAACCTAAAAGGTTTAGGTCCAGAGTAATCCTTTTGGATGCATTGAACAAGGAGGGGCTAATGGTCAGAGTTGAACCTGGCAAGGTGTTTAAGAGTGATATCATCAAAATGAGCTATGATTGGGAGGTTGATAAGAGCTCTATCAAGTCTTCTCCATGTTCTGCCTTGGCTCCTGACCCCAGACCAAGTGAAAAGGCCTCCAGTGGGTTCAAGTGAGACAAGTTGGCAATGGGAGATGCAATTACTGAAATCCTCCATGCCTTGGGTGTTGGGGATACATCTTCCTTTGAATTCAGTAAGTGAAGATATAGTGTTGAAGTCCCCCCCCCCCCTACAATCCATTGATAGTCTGTTGTGCTGGCTTCTTGTAAATTGCTCCAAAGTTCTCTTCTTTCAACAACTGAATGAGCTCCATAAACTGAGGAAAGGAGAAGAGGTGTATTGGTGGAAGAAACATGGAAGAGGCAGTGGGTGATCTGGTTGCTATCTTGAGACGAGGTCAGGGAAAGATACGAGTTGTCCCAAAAGATCCATCTTTTGTTGTTGGAGGAGCTAAGTGCATTAGAGAAACCAATTTTAATCCTGAAGAGCTCCAGTTGAGACTTATTGTTTATGGGTTCAATAACACAAAGGAAGTGCAAATTAAATTTCCTCTTGAGGAATATAAGCCTGCTGAGTGAGGAACTAACCCCACAGGCATTCTAGAAGATGAGATTCATTAGGAGAGGTTTTGGGGTACCTCTTTTTTAGTCCTGCTCCTTGTGGCATAACCTGGATGAATGGCAGGAGTATTGCTAAGGCTTGGCTGCAATGGCATTGACACTCTAGGGGATTGATGAGTGACCATTTCCAGAGGTGCCAAGGGGGCTGAGATAAAGGGAACAGCTCCAAGTTCTCCATCCGAGTGGTAAGAGACAGGGGAGATTTCTTCATCCACCTCGTCTTCAGAGTGTAAGTTTTCCCAAGAAAGAGTAACGTCCTTAGTGAAGATGTCATCTCTACTCTTAAGGAGTAGAGTGGGGCAAGGGGGTGGGAGGAAAGGAATGATGTCCTTGCAAGGGTTGCTGCTGGGTTGAAGGAAGGAGAGATCAGGGGGGAAGGAGGATGAAGGAGGTTGAGGGGATGGTGTCTGCATGGGATTTGTATGGGCCCAAGAGGTGGAGGGACAAACCAGGGTGTCTACCACCAAAGGTGGAGGGTTTGGGACGGGTTTAGGGGGAGGGTTGGGATGGCTAGGGGGAGTGGAGGGATGAGTTGTAGGTTTGGAGGATAGTTGCTGGACGGTGGCTAAAAGGGGTATATGCTTGAGGTATTGGGAAGTGGGAGGGGGCAATGATTTAGAAAGCTTTTTGGGAATCTGTCGTTTTCTTGTTACCCTCTTCCAATCATGTTCTCCCGCTCCTTGTTGGCCCACCCCTGCCGCCGGAGCAGTGACGGAGGGGTGCCTTTTCCGGCATTGAGATAATGGGTGTCCAAACCGCTTGCAATGGCCACAGTAGGGTGTGTGTTCTTCATACCTGCATGGGAGCCAAAGGTCTCTAGAGCCAAGACGGACATGGATCTTAGGAGGCTTGGCTAGGGATACATCCATCTCTATGCAGATTCTAGCCCTCTCCAGAGATATGCCCATAGCAGTTTTAGCTCCCAGTTTCAGAGGTTTTCCCAGAGAGGAAGCAATGGAGAATAGGGAGCTATGGTCAAGAAGGTGGAGGGAGATGTGGTTAATATCAACCCAAAGGGGGATGATCGGAGAGTCAAGCTAGGGTGAGTGTTCCGGTGACCATTTACATATGGTGATCTTTGAAGAGTTGATTGTCCAGTGTCTCCGGAGAAACCACTGAAGATAATCTTCATCCCTCTTAAATAGGAAAAGGATCTCGTTGGAGTGGAGTCTCCTGTTGAAACACGAGTTTATCGTGTTTTCGTACTAAAGCCGTGTTCGTTTTTATGACAGGTTTTGATAATGCCAAACCGCCGTGAACGAGACAAGTTGTTGAATATACAAAACGAGAAATAAATATAAGAAGAAAGCAAGAGAACAAGACCCAAAAGAAGACCAAGAACGAAGACCGTAGTCTTAGTGTTGTTGAGTCGGTCTTAATTATGATCAAGACCGACCCAACCTTTACACCTTGGCTCTTTAGGCTAAAATTCTTTTCATTGCATCTCACACATCATAAAAATGTTTTTCAGACATGTTTAAAACATTAAAAACACTTGGTGTTCGCCCAAACCAAAAATCAAGCCATCCGGCGTTCGGGTTTCAGAAACCGGCGTTCGGCATTCGGTTTTCGGCGTTGGTTTTGGCGTCCGAACTAACCAAGTGGTTTTCAACTTTTTATGATTGGTTTTTACTTCTGGGCACATTTAAATAGTTTTCCATCAAAAACACTTCAAAAACCACCTTTCGTTTTTTGTCGTTTGATAAAAACCACGCGAAACGGCATAAACTTGGCTAGCTGTGGTTTTCACTTAAATGAAGTGGTTTTCGAGTCTTTTTTCTATGGGAATTGTTTTTGAGTGCATTTAAATGGTTCTCCAATCAAAACATCATGAAAACCACCTTCCGGTTTTGTCTTTTGGTGAAAACCACCCGTGTACAGTGTTGACTTGGTCAACCATGGTTTTTACCTTAACGACGTGGTTTTCAACTTACAAAGCTTGTTTTGACATCACAATACATTAAATAAGTGTTTTAAATACTTAGTTTTTACTTTGGAGAACTTTGCATTTTTCGGTCCGGTTTGAGCGCCGGTCGGCTAGGCCATGGTTCTGGGCTAGCCATCTACCCAGCGATGGTAGAGTTTACCCATGCATGGGTAAGTGATCCCGGGATTCCAGAATCATGCCACCCAGCGATGGGAAGATCTTCCCATCGATGGGTAAGCAGTCCCTTAGCCAAACCAACTTCCAGAACCATGCCAAACAGCGATGGGAAGT